CGTTAAAAAACAGTAAAGCCTCATGCAGTTTGCACCAATCTCTGGAATCTGCCTGGTAATAGGGGTGACCGAGGTCGTGGGCTGGGACCCCAGATACCTGAGTTTTTCCGGGGGTCTAACAACTTCCTTCCATCTCCCTACCTCCCTTCCTCTTCCTCCCTACTTCCTTCCTTCTTCCCCCTTCCTTTCACTTCCTCTCTTCTTCCTTCCTCAAACCCTCCCTCCTTTCATCCCCTTTCCTTCACTCAACCTTCCTTCCTTCCTTCTTACATTTAGTGTGTGTGTGTGTGTGTGTGTGTGTGTGTGTGTGTGTGTTGCAGGAGTTCATTTCTCCTTCCATCCTGTGGGTCCTGGGAATTCAACACAGGTCATCAAGTTTTTCACATAGATGTTTCTAATTTTTCATATTTATAATCATATAAAAATAGTTCATAGAGATTTATGATTCTTAAAGGGTTTTTAAGTATCTGGGAAGATTAATTTTTAAACATCTAGTCATTACTTTGAAAGGCTAAAATGAGTTAGATAATATCTCAGATTTACTTATGGCTGTTGAAAGTGAGCATCCTATTGTCAGAGATAGGTCCTTGTACTTGATTAAAGCAGAATGTTAAAAATAGAAAGTGCTGGTTTCAAAGCAAATAGATACAGTCCAAAGTGAGCCACCCACCTCTCCTGCACTGGAGATCCCAGACAGGAAGTGAGGGAACTGACTGAAGCCCAGTGTTAGAAGGAACATGTTCTAGGAGCAGCTGTCTTCTGAGATCATCACCCAGCCCTTTATACAGAGAAGATGACTCAGGGGTGGACCACAGGAGTTGTGTGTCTGGGGACTGATCTAGGCTGTACAGATGAAAGAAAGCTGTGTTGTCCAGAACTCAGCCACACATGGCTGGCAAGCACTTGAAATGCCACTCTTCCATATTCTAATGCATAGTGTGTGTAGAGCACTCAAGTAAGTTTTACTTTGTATAAAAGGGTATAAAATGTCCTTGGAGTCTCCAATAACATACGAATAGGACTTGGGGTATATTTGGTTGTATAAAGAGTACTAGTTCTTGATTTTACCTCCTTTCCTTTGCCTTTTGAAATGAAACTCTGAGGAAAAAAAAAAAAAAAAAAAAAAAAAAAACAAAACATAGGAGCTCTAGGTGTATGTATGTAGCTCCTCCCCTCCTTCTGTTGTGACTTCTGGGGACAGCCATGGGCCTGTTAAACTTTTGAGTGTGGAATGAGATTTCCTTGCAGGGTTTCCCCTGCATCTTTTGAATTGTGAAGGCAAAGGATGAGTTTACTGAAGCCTGGGGAAGGGTGTCAAAACTTGTCCAGGATTTTCTCTTGAACTTGAGATTCTCAGTGTCAAAAGTGGCCAGTGGCTCATCCTTATCAGCAGCAGGGGTGCTTGAGGGGCTCCCAGTGATGGGGGAGATCTTGGAAGTACACATATTTGGCCCCCGAGAGGAAGACCAGTTTGGCTTGTTCAGTCCAAAGGGCACCAATACAACATCATGAGCTCAGCCAAACAGGAATTGACCCACTTCCCTCATCATACTGCTGCTTCAAGGAGAGAGAGGCCACCACAGTTCCTGCTCTGCCAGTTGTAGGTTATCTGTCTTAGCAAAGGAGGGGAGGCGCAACTGTGCTGCCCACCCCCTTACTACCCTCCTTACTCCCTCCTCCCTTATTCCCTCTTATACTACTTTCTCTTGTTCTTACTCTTTCTCTTCCTCCCTCCTCCTCTTCCTCTTCTTCTGTTTCATTTGTGTGGTTTTTTGAATCAGACTCTACACTGGTCCAGGCTGGCCTGGTTATATTCTTAGTATTGGTAGCTTAACTAAGATCTTGTTGATAAGGTAATAAAATGATATATCCATGGTATATTAAAGAGTATTTTTCTTCTCATGTTGATTTTAAAGTAAATTCCACTCCGGTTTCAGTAGTAATAAGCTCTTGAGTTGGAGATTAGCTGTGTGGTGGAACTCCATTCCCAGCACTACAAAAGGAGAATTAGCAAACATACACAAAAATCCATTTAAATGTGACATGATTTTGCAGAGGTTTCAGCCTTCCTGGAGTTGTTTCTAATTGAGGAGCCCTAGATCTGGAGAGTTCATCGTACAAGGTGATTTTGCTTTACTCAGCCTTACCAGTTTGAGTAGGCATCTCACAGGGTAAACCACTCACCCCTGGAGCTGCAGGGTGTTCCCACTGTGACATCCTCACAGAAGCAGGATAACAGATCTCAAAGAGAAAATGCCTTCTGAGTCAGGGTCTCTCAAAGAAGATAGGAAAGTGTCTACTGTGCTCTGCCTGTGTTGGCATGGACTTAGGGGAATTTCAGAGCTGGGGGTGGGAAGAGTTTACATCATGCTGACCAGGGAACTGTAAGCATCACAATGCTGAGTACACTGAAAGACAATGGTGAAAGGTGAAAATGTGCAGTTATTGCACCAGAGCACTTCCTCCCAGTCTTTGTTTTTTTGCTTTCACTTTGTGATCCTGAGTTTTCCCATCATCAGACAGGCTAATTTTATGATGAGGATGAACTTCCTCCTGCATCCTCTCCCGGATGCCCAGTTATCCCCAGGCCTTTCTCAGTTCCTGATGACCACTTCCTTTCCTGCTGTGTGCTCTGCCTTCTGGACAGCCAGCTTCACTGCTGTGGTGTTCTCCTCCTTTTCAGCTCTCTCCCTCTCTGTGTATCTTCTCATTCTTGTCTTTGAAGAGAACTGTGCTTTTGTTTCTGTTTCTGATTCATCAGCTCTATCTCCAACCTGTTTTGTGTTTTAATTTTTGTTCTGTTTTCTTTCTAATGTTAGACCCCTGGAAAACTCAGGCCTCCGGGGTCCCAGCCTAAGACTGGGGTCACCCCAATCACCAGGTGGATTCGAAAACTTGCTACAAACTGTATGAGGCTTTATTGTTGTTTAACGAGCTAACCCCATGTGAGCTCCTTCGCCCACCCGCCATGGTGGATGGCTAGCAAAGACAGCTCTAACCGGCTGCCAGCAATCTTGTAGGGCATCGTAAGGGGAGTGTCTAAAGGTACACACAGGCTCAGGATTGGGTGCCTACAGGCTTGGAGGGCTTGCCCTGTGTTGATTGGCCAATTGGTTGTTATGGCCCATAGGCCCTCCCAGGGTGGTTGCTATGCTCTGCGTGTCATTGTTGTGCACTTTTCCATAAAGCACACCCAGAGCCATAAGGCATAGCGCCACCAGATAACTTCTGATTGGTTCCTTGTCACGAGGCAGGCATTTGACTTCTAGTGACTAGGACAAGGTCATAGCGAGCACGTGTTACTGTCGTGGCTGCTGAAATGGGGAGCTGGTCCCTTCACTATCTGAGACTTGATTTCATTGACTGTTTTCCCTTATTATCTCTTCTGTTTGTTTCTCTTATGCATCATCTTTTTTCGAAGGAAGGCTTGGTTCTAAAGGTGTATCTGAAGGTGTCAGAGTCCCTAATGTTTTTTCTACCAGGCGTCTAGCATATACCCGTAGTCCTAGAGCAGCTGCGGAAATGGAGGCAGGAGGATCCCGAATTTGAAGGGAGCCTGGGTGACAGTGAGATTGTCTGATCCACTTGGAGGATGTGGGCTAAGCAGATACTAGGAAACATGCCCAGTTTAAGCTTGCTCAAGTATATCATGGAAGTGCAAGGTTGCCACAAATGTATACACTTATTCCTGCTAGTACTTTACAATTATGTGACACTAAGAAAAAGCTAAATTTAGCTAATGTTTTGCCAAATACATTCAACATAATGTACCTCACAAATAATAGCAATAACTGCAATAGTGTAGAACAGTGCTAACTGTGTACAAAGTGGAGAAAGCTGATTGCAAAACAATTTGTATACTCTGATCATTATGTAAAATACTGTATGATCAGGAGAGATGATGGATCAGTGGTTAAGAGCACTTGCTATTCTTGCAGAGGACCCAGGTTCGATTCCCAGCACCCTCATCTTGATGCTTACTACTGTCTTTTAAGTGCAGCTCCAGTTGTAGGGGTTTGACACCCATTTCTGGCCCTCTCAGACAAACACATGTATGTTCACATACAGAACACATGTATTACACACATGAATAATAAAGTATAATAAAAATATTCTAAAAATAAAAACCCAAAATATTAGTATCTACTTCTATACAGAAAAAAATCTGAATGGGTAATGAGTAACGCAAACAGTTGTCACACAATGGATTTCACATTCAACTTGTGTGTGTAGCTCTGAAGCTACTCATGGATGCAGGAGCAGAAGAAACTGAAAGCTCTCATCCCATTTCTCTGCACTTCTTTCTGGAGTGATGGTGGTGATCTTCAGCCCTCTCTAAGAGCAAAGGGTGCAAACTTTTCATCCTTCACTTTCAGGATTCAGTCACTTGGGAAGTTTACATGATTCAGTTAGAGATGAAGAGCCTCAGAATAGATGGGGTCCTGTTGAGGTCTTGTGATGGGTAGGCAGCCTTTATCTTGGGCTTTATGTATAGTGCAGAATACCCAGTGTTGAATACCTTTTAAAAAGACGAAATGTAAAAAGCAGCGGCTGAGCCGGGCGGTGGTGGCGCGAGCACACCTTTAATTCCAGCACTGGGGAGGCAGAGGCAGGCGGATCTATGTAAGTTCGAGACCAGCCTGGTCTACCAGAGCTAGTTCCAGGACAGCCTCCAAAGCCACAGAGAAACCTTGTCTGGAAAAACAAAACAAAAACAAAAACAAAACAAAAAAAAGCAGCGGCTGAATAATTCTAACTCTGAAGTAGACATTTAAAAATCCTTTCTGGGTAGTGGTGGAGTACACCTTTAATCCCAGCACTCAGGAGGAAGAGGCAGGAGGATCTCTGAGTTCAAGCCAGCCTGGTCTACAGAGTGAGTTCCAGGACAGCCAAGGCTGCACAGACGAACCCAAAAGAAAAAAATGTCTTTTTCTCTGTTTCTCAAGCCAGCACAAATGTGACCAAGAACTGTAGTTATTTTTTCCCAATTAGCTGTAGGGAATAAGTATTCCAAGTTCACAGGATGTTCAGATGTGTGATTATATCCAGATGAAATTAGGATCTTATTTAAAATACTGTTCAAGAGCTGGGTGGTGGTGGTGAATGTTTTAATCCCAGCACTCGGGAGGTAGAGGCAGGTGGAATTTCAAGTTCAAGGGTAGAGTTCCAGGACAGCCAAGGCTACACAGAGAAACCCTGTCTTGAAAAACAAAAACAACAACAAAAATATTGTTAAAGAATCTTTAGACTTCTTTAAAAACTATGCTTAATTTTTTTTTTTCTGTGTGTGTGTGTGGGGAGGAGGCACATTGATGTCAAAGGACAGTTTGCTTTGGGAGTTCTCTCATTCTACCCTTATGGTTCATCTGATTTAGGTTATCAAGCTTGACAGCAAGGCTGGCCCTATAGTATCTTCCTCCTCCTCCACCTCCTCCTCCTCCTCATCATCATCATGATTATCATTGTCTGATTCTCTTTGTGCACCTAAATGCTCAGTTAAATGCTGTCTGTCCCTCATTTCAGGTCAGCTTGTGGTGTGTACCTTATGCTCCTGTGTCATGAAAACAAAGCAGATCTGGCTCTTCCCGGCACACATGCTTCCTCTGCTGGCACGCCTCTGCCTCGTCCCTCTGGAGACCATCGTCATCATCAACAAATTTGCTATGATTTTTACAGGATTGGAAGTCCTGTATTTTCTAGGGTCGAATCTTTTAGTACCATATAACCTCGCCAAGTCTGCATACAGAGAGTTAGTTCAGGTAAGAATGCTGGGCACAAGCAGGTTGATAGGTTTCTGTGTGAAGACTGGTTCATTTTCCTTCCAGCTGTGGCCGATGTGAAATTTCCTCACAGCTTAGAAGAAGGCCCTCTTCTTGGCCCTGTAAGGAGCATCCAGTTTGCCCTAGGAAGTTCTGCTGTGGAGTGGGTCAGAAAAGGAGTGACTCTCTGGGTTCAGTGTTTGGATTCTCAACTCCGAGGCTGCTCTTGAACACATGCATGACCTTAGCAGGTTCACCTATCTCCACTTTGTGTAAAATGGAGCTGATAACATGATAACACTGTACTCACCTTGTAGGGTAGCCAGTGGTAAGATTCATTTGAGCTCTGAACCTTTTGGGTGATATACAGTAAGTCTTAGCTATTATACCAAAGATGAAAATAACAAAAAAAAAAAAAAAAAAAAAAAAAAAAAAAAAAAAAAAATCAAGTTCCTGACAGGCAACCTTGATTTTCTTTCTGACTCTACTCCTACTGTGTTTCTTCCCTTTGTTTACCTGACCTGTTTAAACTGGGAGCTCACCGGGTTGGTTGCAGTGTGATGAGTCTCATTTAGAAGTAGTGCCGGAGGCTGGCACTCAGGTCATGCTGTTGTAGTTGTCTTTCTCCTTTTCTTAGCCTTTCCCCTAGGACTGATGAATCCCAGATTAGACTTTGGGAAGAGAGGGCTTCTCTTTGATCCAATTGATTAGCTTTATTGTAAATAAACAGTGTTGGTTTGTTTTCTCTTTCACCTCTTGACTGTGGGTGGGACTTTAAAGTACAGGAAACCCTCAGATGGGCCAGATTAATGCCCTGGGGAGGTGCTGTCTTGTGGCTCTGCCAGCAGATCTTGCCAGCAGATCCCTAAACCCTGAGCCTGTGCTCTGCCAGCAGATCTTTGAGTACTATGTTCTAAGCCCTGGGCCTTAACTTGATTCTACCTGCTTTCCTGAAACATAGTGATTAACCTGGGTGGTGTCCCAGAACTAGAACTTTCAAAGAGAGATTTGCATACACTCAGTGTAGAGCTGCCTCCTTGGGGAAGCTGTATTTCTGTTTATAATGAGAAAGGCAAGTTCAACTCAAGACCTGCATTTTGTCTTTGGACCATTGTGATGTGGAGCAATTCTAATTTATAATAGACGGTGGCCATTTTGTAAACATTTATGTACATTAAATATTTAATGGCCATAGGACAGTGTCTTTTTCTCAAAGTCATGATCACCCTCTTAGTTGCTTTGTGGTTTACAAGTCACTAGGGTGAGATGGATGAGCATAAATTACAGGTTATAAAATTTATGACTTGAGAGTTGCTTAAGCAAGAAATAGAAAATGTCCAAGTGATCTGTTCTTGAGTGGAAAAGGGGCAGCCTACTGTCTGCTTTTTTGAAATAACTAGTTTGCCTCTAATAGTAATTGTTACAGCTTGTTAAACAGGTTACTTAACCCTTCCTTCCTTCCTTCCTTCCTTTCTTTTTTTTGGGTTTTTGAGACAGGGTTTCTCTGTGTCACCCTGGCTGACTTGGAACTCACGTAGTCTGAAGACCATGCTGGCCTTGAACTCACAGAGATGTACTTACCTCTGCCTCCTGAGTTTAAAGGATTAAAGGCGTGAATTGCCATCTTCCAGCTTACTTAAATATTTTCTAAATGGGAAAAATAGAAATTAATGTTGACTAGATTAACATTTGCTTTTACTGATGAGAAATTCAAATTTAGAAAAATCACAAATGTGAGGCTGGAGCTCTGGTTAACAGAGCTTACTGCTCTTGGAAGAGACCTGCATTGGGATCCAGCACCCACATGGTGGCTCCAGGGAATCTGATGCCCTCTTGTAGCCTTTGTGGGCCCCTGCATGTACATGGTACACATATGCTCATGCAAGCTCACACATATCCACATAAATTTTTGGAAAAAAAAGAATAAACACGGGCTGGGGAGATGGCTCAGTGGTTAAGAGCACTGACTGTTCTTCCAGAGGTCCTGAGTTCAATTCTCAGCAACCACATTGTGGCTCACAATCACCTTGG